TCTCTCTCTCTCTCTCTCTCTCTCTCTCTCTCTCTCGGCCTCGTTGTGTGGTGTCATGTACCCTTCAGGACTTACTTGTGATGGTTGTTGCTGAGGCACATGTTGCAATCATAAGAACCACAAGGGTAGGTCCAACCACAACATCAGTTGGGGAAATGTCTGTGGGGGCTCCACAGTATTACCAGGCCAGGTGGATGCCCCTAAGCATTCCTAGGTGATAGCATCACTATTGATAAACTGAAACCAGACACACATCAGTTGTGTTACCTTAAATAGCTCACAGCATTATTGTGTGACCTTTTATAGTTTGTGGCATACATAGAAAATTGCAAGTACATACTTTGCACTAAGGATAGAATTATTTCCTTCTCTACTCCAGCCTTCTGTCCATCTGTCCTCACTGCATATTTTATAAGCACAAGTCAGTAATGATAAAAATGTCCCTAAAAAGGCAGCCAATCTTCAAAGAAGCTAGTAATATATGACCTAGTTCATGAAAAGGAAAAAAAAAATAGGCGGTTCATAAACAACTAAAATGTCAACTTGGTTTGAAAGAAGCCAATTAGCAGTACAGATACAAAGATGCTACACTTGTGTAAAGCTTGATTAACAAAACAATGAAGCCTATCAGAAAAATTTTAATAAAACATTCTGGTGTTGAAAGCTTATCTTTGATGAGTTGGAAAAGCAAAGAAAAATAATCCTGAACCATTTTCCAGTTTAGAAAGATTTTGTTTATCCCTCTTTGCTGAAGTTGGAGCCAACAATTTGATGGTTTGGATTACCTTTTAATATTTGTAGCCATTTGAGTATTCAAATCAATGGTGCATTTCTGGGAACAGACTATCTCACCACAGACAGCAGGCTGAGGAACGAAGCTTCCCCACATATAAGCCACAAGCCTTCTCTCTCCTTTCACCACTTGGACCAGTGGTCTTTAGTCAGAAAATGGCACAGGGAAGTCAGTAACCCCAGGAAATCAACACACCAAGGTCACTCTATCCATCTAGGGTCCAGTTTCTTCATTTATAAAATAAAGTTTTTGGAGTAGATTAAGGTCTCAAGACTTTTCCCAAGAAGGAGAGTCCCCTGATGGGCCCAGGAGCTAAGTGTGGAGTTACAGTAAGAGAAGATTTGGGGCTGATAGAGCAAAAGAGGAGGAAAAGGAATTTATAAGCAGCTCTCAGAGATGAGCCGTCCTGGAGTGGGAGGAGGATACAGCAAGAATGCCAAAAACAGAGAGGACAGCTTCCTCTGGCGTGGGTTCCCATAACCCAAATACTGAGTGAACCACTTCACATTCTTGGAAAATTATTGCAAGCCCCCAATTTTCTCTGTTATTATCATTTTGATTTTTACTATAATGTCATTTCATTTATGTACAACCACAAAACAATGTATAAACTCCAAGTTTATAGATTACTATTTATATAATTGCAGAACAAAATTATGATCAAATACCATAAAGGTAATAAAATTCAAATTTATGCTATTAATTTAATGTGATGGGTAAGTGAACGGTATTGTCTTGCGGAAGCTAAATTGCCAATTTGAGGTTAATGGTAGAAAAATGTTAACTCAGATCTGGTCATATATTTTTTCTGTTCCTATATTATGAATTTGAAAATAGAATTTCCTAGAACACCTGTTCACGTACAAAATGGGAATGTTAATACCTCCCAGCCTCGGTGTGGAGTTTAGAAGAAGCAAAAACCTTTCACCCAACCAACACTCTGTAAGTGAACAAGACAGATAGATGCCACTTGATAATTCCGTCAAGTTCTCTCTTTTATCTGAAGATGTTAGTCTGCACTCAGTGAGCAGCTAATGCAATTATTGTTGCACCCCAGAACAGAATCCTTCTTTCAAGCATAGTCACTACTACAATTACTATTCATTTGAACGGTTAAAAGTTGATATTCTCAAAGCCTGAGACCACACTGCACATCTACTGGAAACGTAAACATAGATGTGATGGGGCAAGTTATTTTGTAGTCTGACATGCCTGTATTTTGTATGTCTTGAGATGACTCACTTCTCCCACCACATTTCTATGTTCAGCTTGCTGCAAAATCTCCTAGTGATAGAGGACGCCATGAAGTCACCTGGATTTCACTTGGTGTAAACTCAAATTCAAACACAAATTGAAGGATGAACACAACGATTCTTATGATACATACACCACGATTCAGTTGAGGTCATCCAGATGATTCAGGATGTGCTTATAAAAACTGTTACAGGGCCGGCCGAGTGGCTCAGTTGGTTAAGAGCTCGCTCAAAAGTGCAAGCTCTGAGCAACAGGGTCGCAGGTTTGATTCCCACATGGGCCCGAGCTGAGCTGCCGCTGAGCTGCCAACAGGTGGCAGGATGACTCAGCTAAAAAAAAAAAAAAACTGTTAAAGATTATCATCACAATGAAACCCCAAACTTAGATTTTCGTAGAGAATTTGCAGATCCTTTAGAAATTGTCCAAGAACTCTGAGAAAAGGTGGGTTCAGCTGGGAAAATGTAAACTCTACTTGCTTTCGGGACACTTGGGTCTACGTCCAGTGAATATCTGTCACTAACTACCTAGGGAAGGTTGGGCAAGTGTTCATATGGACATCTGTTTCCTCATCTATAAAACCATCCTACAAATCCTGTTTACCTCACAGTCTCACTCTGAAAGTGAATGAGACAGTGTATTTGAAGGTGCATAAAAACCTTCCTACTGATGACAAATGGGAAACGCAATCACAATGGCAGGGGCAAGTGGCTGCAGATTTACCTCCAAAAGCTTCACAATGACCTGGCCAGTCATCCCTCAACGGCATGGCTATTTCCCGGCCCTTCCAGCTCTTCCTGTTCATGCCACTCCTGAGCCAATAAGGGTGGTAGTTATTGGTTAGCAGGCTGAAAGGATCCTAAGAGGAATTTAGGGCTCATTCATTGCTCTCTGCTGCCCTCTTCAGGACATAAATCGGCCTTGCATGAAATGGGGTCTCGGCCGCAAGTGAGGAAATGAGCCGCCCCAAGGCTTCTGAGCACCTCTGCTCAACATTCCAGCCCCAGCCCCTCCTCAAAATACCGCCGCCCCTGCTGGCCCTGAGCCGCTGCAGACCCTCAGGCCTCCAAGCCTTGTGTAAGCCCCAACAGTCATCTTTCAATCCCATTCTTGGTTGTTATGGCTTAGTTAAGACGGATTTTAAGGCCCAGAGACCCCATAAAGTTTCCTTATGTCCGCTGACCTGCAGTGGATTTCCAATTACACATTAGCCAGTGAGGTAATAAAGACATGCTTTGTTTTTCTAATTCCATTTTAATGTCACTGGTCTATTTTAATGTCTAGTTCTGTTTTAACCATTAGTATTTGCCTTAGCCTTTTGAATACCCTTAAGAGCTGTGTGGTACTAAATAAGCAATCACTTCTTAAAATATTGGGTTGTCGGAAAAGTCATGATGCATGTTCGCAACAGATGGCACTAGTTCATTTTTGGAAGTACTACAGTCATTCACATCTATGTTATTGCTATGTCATTTGACAGCTGACAGTTCTAGCTTCATTTTTTTAAAAAAATTGAGCGATTTGGTTGAGTTTTGGGGATTTTACAAGTTGAAGATGGAAGACCAAACTGTGCATTTTTGCCATATTTTACTGTTTTACTTCCATAAAGGGAAGAACGCGCATCAAGCTTGTGAAAAGTTGCATAAAGTTTACGGGGACAATGCTCTACAAGAACGTCAGCGCCAACGATGGTTCACGAAATTCTGTGCTGGTGATTTTGATATCAATGACACTCCTCTGTCAGGGAGGCCCACCAAGGTTGATGACGACAAAATAAAGGCATTGATCAAGTCAAACCCACGTTACACGACATGAGAGATTGCAGAAACATTGAACATCCATCATTCAAGCATTCACAACCACCTGAAGAAGCTGGGATACATAAAACAAGCTTGATATTGGGGTTCCGCATAAACTCAAAGAAGTTCATTTGACAGCACATATAAACATCTGCAATATGCTCATTAAACGTGAAGAAAACGATGCTTTTTTAAGTGACTTATAACTGGTGATGACATGTGGATTGTTGACAACAATGTGATGCGCAAACAGTCTTGGTCCCAACATGATGATTTGCCTCAAACGACATCAAAAGCAGACATTCATCAGAAGAAGGTTATGCTCTCAGTGTGGTGGGATTTTAAAGGTGTCGTGTCTTTTGAGCTCCTACCAAGGAACCAAACAATCAATTTGAATGTATACTGTTGGCAATTGGACAGTTTGAATGAATCCATCATCCAGAAACATCCAGAGCTTGTTAATTGTAAAGTGTTGTGTTCCATCGTGACAACGCGAGACCACACACAAGTTTGATCACCCATCAAAAATTATTGGAGCTTCAATGGGATGTGTTGCCACAAATACCATAGTCGCCTGACCTTGCATCCATCAGACTGCCACTTGTCTCTAACGTCCAATTCAGATGAGGCTGTAAATCAGCACCTTGTTCAGTTTTTCGCAAATAAAGACAGGTCCTTCTATGAACAAGGAATTATGAAGCTCACTGAAAGATGGCAAGAGGTTATTGAACAAAACGGGCAATATATCATTGATTGATCTTTGTTCTTTATGTAAATAAATGACCTTTGAAAAACATAGACAAAATATGTCATGACTTTTCCGACAACCCAGAATTTTTCTTTCTTGTTTCCCATTCACAGCCTCATTATCCTTTAGACTAAAGGAGTAAATTCCAAATGACCCACACAGGGCACACAAGAGGACCCAGTGGGGTTAGGGAGGAAAAGAGCGAACTTTTATTTCGGTATAGCATATTTGATTTCATCCTTCTTAAATTTCAATTTTGGACAATGTTTTACAATATACATAATGTATTAGTGGACCGGTACAGGCCTAGATTTATAAATAAATATTCATATATCATGAGGAAATGCTAATTCCATTTCATTTATTTATTTTGTTGCTGAAGGGATGCACAATCATAAAAGTTTGACGTCCTCTATTCTAGGAGAGTAGCTACCATCCTAGCTGTGTTTCAGAATCACCATGGAAGATTTGGAAAAAAATAGTTCGTTAGGCCCCAATCCCATCCCTGACTCAGTGAACCACAGTCTTCAAGAATGAAGCATGAAATTAATTTTTTAAATCACCCCCTGGTGATCCTGATGTAAACCCCTCTGCTAAAAATCACATTGTTTCCCAGACTGTAAGCTCAGCGAGGGCAGACTGTATCTATCTATCTTGCTCACCATTGTATCCTCAGAGCCTAGCCCACTGCCTGATACAGACAGATGTGCCACAAATATTTGCTGAGGAATGAATGATGAGCAAACACATGAATCAAAATCCACAGCCAGCCATTGCTAACTCCCCAGCCTTTGTTTCCACACTGAATGTTTTTATATAATTGTTTTACACGTTGGAGAACCCATCATATATAAAACTGAGTAACTTTTCAGATCACTTTTAATAAACAGGAGTTTAGAATTTAAAGTGACTATAGTGTTTTAGCATTAGCATTTAGTATTTTCCATATGAATTACGCTATGTAAAAAATCTTCTTCTTAAAGCTTTCTTCTTAATATTTAATTATATGCATAAGGTAGAGTCCCTGATGTGGGATTTTTAAATCAAAGACTAAGAACATTTTAAAGGCTGTAGCTACTGTGGTAAGGACAAATTAACATTGACTGGGAGACTCTGTTTTAGGGAGCAAAGACTCAAAGGGTTTTGTGATCCAGCAGAGAGAATCTTCAGGGAAGCTTTATGGTGTGAAAAAAAAAAACTTGGAGTGTCTGATAGAGTTCTAGTCCCTGTGTCTTCCACTTACTGGCTGTGACACTTAGATTCTTTAAGCCTAAGTTTCTTCACCAATAGCATGAATTTCACAGCTACAGGACAGGGCTGTTGATTCTGAAACTGTATTAGGTGTTAGAAATAAAAGAATTAATTTTCATACTTCATGTAGTTCCGAAGGCATAAAAGCCTTCAAGTCTAGGATCGATTCCCATGCAAAGATGCCATCCTGTCTCTCTTTTATTAAAAGGCACTCTTTACCCACAAGTAGTTTTGAATGCTAACTTCTTCAGTGGGGGCCCAGGAAATCCCACAACTGCAATTTAGGCTCCTGAAAAGGTTCAGAGATATTTCAGAACTCTAGCCAATGGGTCACCTCAGAAATATCAAAAGTGAGTCTCACTGTTTGCAAAAGGTAGTGCTGACAAAATGACCAGGCGCACACTGCGCAGTCTGTTTTTCTCTCCACACTGTGCCAATAAAACCAGTCAGGCAAGTTCCCAGGGTGCCAAGCTACTCTAGAGAGAAGCAGCTCCTCTCTCCTGCTCTTTGAGGACTGCTGACTCCAGAAACCACCAATCAATGTCTTTTGGGAAGTTTGGTTGGAACCCAAGGCCAGGGTCTGCGTTTCATCTTTGGTATAGGGCTGTAGTTCTCAAACGTTGGTGTGTATAAGAATGACCTGAAGTGCTCAAAAAACACGCAGATCCCCTACCCCAACCCCTAGAGATTCTGATTCTGTAGCTCTAGGGTGGGGCCCAGGAATCTGCATTTCCTTCAGTGATTCTGATGTAAGCAGCCTGAAAACCAGGTTTGAGGCAACACTGACATAGCAGACATAGCCTTGGACATGGAACCAGAAAACCTGGGTTTGAGGTGAGAGAGTTCCACTTACACCCGTGTAAACCTCAGAAGTCATGTCACTGCACTAGCTCCGTTTCTTCATTTTAAAGCTTCATTTTCATAACTGGGGGAGCAACACTCATTCATCATAAGGCTGGTTGCCCTGAAGATCGAATTAGAAAACTCTAGGCAGGAAAAGCACCACTGTAACTCACAGCACATGTTTCAAGTCCTGTAATTTGGGCTCTTGCCTTTCACGGAGATAACCACGGACATCTAGCTAGTTACCCCAGTAGCCCCAACACGAGCCTCTGCCCTGAGAAGAAGGCTTATTCTCCTTCGTCTTGTGTGTTTTGCTGTGATAGAGCAATGCTGGCTTCCCACCAGGCGGTGCCTCTGGTTTTCCTGCATGGCATTCCTTGTGCTTGGAGTTCTGGCTGCTGTGATCAGTCTTGCAATTACCTTTGGGATACCTGGAAAACCTGCAAGTATGTGTGTGTCCTCCCCACCCCCACCCCCAGCTGACAGACCTGTCAATAATTCACTCAACCAACAAGACTATATTTATCCCCTATCGTTTTGCAAAGCAGGTGAGTCTTCTGATAATGGGTGATTGGCACATACTATGTTCTAGACGTTTCACCCATCTCATCTTTATTTCATACTTTTCAACAGTCTTACGAGGCTGCTGTTGTTATCATCACTATGAGCAGAGACTCAGGGAGGTTAGGTGACTCGTCGAAGATCATATAGCTGGTAATCGGCAAGCCAGGGTCCCAACCCACTCTGAAGCCTACACAGGACATAGTTTCTACCTTCAAGGACTTTCTGTTGTAATTAGGGAGACGAGGGAAACAGTGGTGAACAATACAGAAGAGCATATAATTCAGTATGAAATTAGGTTGGGTGGGGTGTTAAATACTGTTATTAACATGAGCAACATCAGCCACAATCACAATGCCAAGCATCTCATGGATTACAGGATACAAACTGTGGTGTCATCTGCCTCTTAATTATCAACCTGGTCCCAGCTACAAAACTTTCAAGATGCAAAATGCACCTTCACCAAACTCTCACCAACTCTAAGCCAGGTATCTAAAATATTCTCAGCCTGTTTACCACTCCACACACCAAACCAGAGTTTTCTGGATATATTATTTTAGGTGTAAATATGTTTGAGATATAAGCGTTACCAATCTGCTATTTACATCTTAATGTCCATCAAATTTTTATAGCACTGAAACATTTTTAAAAACAGCATCACATTGTTTTGACAAACTCCCCCTCATTTTGGAGTAGGTGCATTACATTTAAACGATGATCTGTTTAACTCACAGCGTCCCCTAGAGGTTTGTGTAGCAAGTTATCTGTGTTAGCATTTCTAGCTAAGAAAATAGTGGAGGGGGCTACCTGGAACCAACCCGTGGCAGAGCTCAAACCAGAGCCCGCCCAGGCTTCTTGCCTTCTCCTCCCAGGCACCTTTGAATCTTTCTCAGGCAGGTGTGAGTGCACAATTTTTTGCCCAAATGCCAGTTAGGTATTGCAAGAAATGCAAGCTAAGTAGGCTTAGAGAGTTTGGGAGAATGGGGGACAAAAAGAAAGAAAAATAATGGGAAAAAGAACAATGGAAAGAAGCAGAAGGGGGAAGGAGGAAGCAGATTGTTATGCGCAGGTTATTATAGTATTAAGGCTTGATGTTCATGGTCATAGGTGCATACATCCAAATCCAGTACTTGTCTTACAGATTTGCCATATCGACGATGTAAAACAGCTTCACAGCAACTTGGCTTCTTGTGTGAGGACCTCACAACTTGCTTGCCACCGTCCCTGCTTTGTAATGGCAAGTTGGACTGCAGTCACGGTGAAGACGAATCCGCTATCTACTGTGGTGAGGTGGACAATAATCAACATGAAAGAATCATCACCAGCCACTAATAACTAAAATTCAGAAGTATAATTAAAACATTATCATGCATGAATGATTTCTATTAGAAATAATGTCTTTGTCTAATATAGGCCAAATGCCCAGCAGTCTCCCACAAAACTTGATATTCAAGTGTCCCAACCAGAAGACTTGGACATATGTGGACAAGGTGTGTGACACAAGAAACGACTGTGGCGATTGTTCAGATGAATCAGGTAAAAATGAAAATATGTAATTGGTGTTTTAATGGGTTGTTACATAAATTAACCCATACTTAGAAGACTACCTAAGGATATTAACATTCACTGTTAAGCAATTCCATCATTTCCCGTAGTTTGCATATTTAAAGTAGGTGAGTTCTCTAGCTTAAAAGCAAAGAAAGCCAGATCTGCAAAGATTAATAAGGGAAATACTAACCTTGATGGACAACTCTTGTCTGCTATCAAATTCCTTTTGGATTTCTTTGGAAATTTTGGTAAAGATCAAAGAAAAGTCTGTTGACTGCTTTGGCTTTCAAAGGATTTTTGTTTATTTAGCCATTGATATTTCTTTGCTTCTCCTCCCCCACTCTCCTTTCTGTCTCCCACAGTATTCTCTGTGGGGGTTTAACACTGTGCAGCACCCTTGATCACTCTGCAATCTGGCTAGGCTAGATTATTCCAAAACCATGGCAGCGGATAACAGTTCCAATAACTCATGACCCTACTCAGTATGTAAAAGATTCATCAGAAGTATAATACGCTCAATAGATCATTTCCTGCCTTTTGCTGGTCATCATGGAGGGTAGAAACAGAAATGCTTCCTATGCGTTGCATGTTACCTAACAATGTGTTGACAACACAAGGCTGCAAGTGTAAACAGGTCTTTGTCTTCTTGCTAACTGCAAATTAGCAAATACTGATTCTTTTCTCTGCTGACTGAACATATACAAGATCATATGGACCCTTCCTTGTTTATGTACCATGTCAGTATGTTTATTTGCAAGCTGAGGGAGAGAGGTAGTACTCTTCTTGGCTTTTCAAAGCACAAATTCTTTTCACCCAAATGTGTAGAATCTTAACATCTGCAATTTTCCCCTTGGACAGTTTTCACTGATTTTTTAAGATCCAAAGGGCTATTTCATTTCCAATAGCATCTTTTCCAGTCCACCTTAACATTTTAACAGTTATGCTTTTAAAAATAAATAAAATTGTCTAGTTTTACAGTGCCCAAAGTGTTCAGGCTGGAGATGTGATACTGTTTTCTTTGCCGACTGTGACTGCATTCCCAGAACTCGCTGCAAAAATGGCATTCAAGACTGTGCTGATTGGAGTGATGAAAACTTATGCGAATAGACGACTTTACCAATTACAGTTTTGGAAAACCTAAAAACCCTTCTCGCCAAAAAAAAAAAAATTGACATATGTATCTTTTGGGGGAAAGGGGTTAATCTACTGAAACAAAAATCCAGTGTTATGTAATAGAGAAAAAATTGATTAGTAGACATCAGGCCCAATCTTCAGTGACCTTCAGCCCATTTCCAAACTTGTTTCTAAATTTTAGAATGTAGCTTCCTACCCTGTGTGCACAGGATTATGAGAATGACACTTGTATTCTAGTTTATTTCAACAAATAAAGGGCATTAATCCTAAAAGTTCTCGGATCAAAATCAATCTCTCTCTTCATTAGCATAGCCCTGCTTCAGATCCAGCTGAAAGCTAGTTTGGCCCAGGGCTAGTCTTAAAAGTAGTGGACAACAGCCAGCCATTATTGAAAACAGCCCAAAATTCAACCAGATCAGAATCATCTGCCCCTCTAGCCTGCCAGGGCCTAAAATTCTTTCCATTTAGGTCTTGAAGTCAAGAGCAGATCTGAATGGGAATCTCATCCTACCACTTAAGGGGCGGTGTGACCTCACATGAGCAGGTGGTTTCCTTATCTGTACAATGTGGCTCTTGAGGGGGCAGGGGCGATTGTCATGATAATCAGTGAGATGATATAAAACAAGTGGTACAGTGCTTAACATGTAAGTCACAGAAGTGTGGGCAGGTTGTATAAATTGTAAAAAAATACCTGCTCTCCTGCTCTGGGGGATTACAGTTCCCCAAGCCTCACGGCATGACTTGGCCATGTATGTGACTTGCTCTGGCTGATGAAATTGGTTATTAATGATGTGCATCACTTCCCAACATAACTCTGAAGAGCCAGCTGGTTGTTTGCCATCTTTCCCTGTCCTGAGGCTGCCAATGTCCCAGTTAGAGGCTGCTTCTGGAGGAAAGTCTTCCCAAGTCACAGGCAAACCACATTGTGACTAATAAATCTATGTAGCAATTACCATTTTTAGTAATTTGTGACTGTAGCATAACCCTATTGAATATATTACAAGAAAAACCTCTTAATCTGTAGCCAACACACACCCAATTCATTTTAACGTACCAAAGGAATAACATGTTTAGAGGCTGTTGGGGAAGAAAAGTGTGGGGTACAGGTGCACAATAGTATTAACCTTAGCCAGCATCTGCTACAAGGAGCAAGTTGCCCTGGTAGGCCTAGTCTAAAAATGTATTGCCCTTATCTATATAGATCCAGGGCCAACAATTGGATCTTCAGTGGCATTCTTCACATTCTCATGTAAGCCTGTCACTGTCACTCCACTTGGTTCAGATGAAGAAAACCTCTCGTTACTCATGGCCAGTGGACCCAGTGCATCAGCATCTCCCAGGAGCTTATCAGAGTGTCAATCTTCAGGACCCATTTGACCTTCCCAATCCTCCGCCTTCCACTTCACCCATTCCATTTGCTTTGGTCAGTCGCATACAAGTGACATTTGTAACAGCTTTAAGAGCCAGGATATGACCTACCATGTTCTCACTCAGCCAGGAAGCTGAGTACCCCAGACAGGTTGCCCCATCAGTCTGGGACCTGGAGTGACATGAATAGCAGAGACCAACCTAGCCCACAAGTCTGGAAACATGTACTTGTTTTGTAATTTTGTACATCACTGAGGCTTTGGAGTCCTTGTTACTGTAGAGTTGTACTTTTAACAGACCTGATACACATCCTTTAAAGAAAATAATACAATGTTAAGATGTGCGAATACCGGTTACACATTTCACTTTTGGTAGTTAACGAATACTGACTTTTAGATATATCTGTCCAGTACCTTCACAAGGTACTTACAAGTTGGTGTGGAAATTTAAAATGAATTCTTATTGAAGTAGAAACTAAGACAATTTTCTTCCTCAACCGGCTTTGAGGCAAATTACGTTTTAATTACCATTTGTAAAAATTTTTTAATTGCTTCAACTAATACCAATTTTTAAAAGCAGCCCTATTATCAGGGGAACTTTCTAGGGTGAGGAAACTATTCAGTACCTTGATTATGGTGGCAGTTTTTCGTTATGTTTAGGATTCTCATAACTAAAAAAGTAGCCCTATTCATTTAGTGTTACCACTCCAGGAAAAGACAAAGTGACATTCCTTTTTATTCAGGTATCTTATAGAATATCCAACATAGAACGGAGTTAAGAGATGTAACTACTTTCACTTTTTTGAAATAACGTCTGGTTACGTGTACAAAATGGAGCTACTAGTTCCTACTTCAGATTGAGGACTAAATGAGAAAATTAAGTGTGATAATACATAAGGCACTCAGTAAGATGCTTACAATATAGACAATATTAAGAGAAAAAAGAAAACCTGTGCTCACCCACTAAGGAATAATCTATTTTCATCTTATAATTATACCCATCACATAAACCAGGGAAGCCCTGAGGGCTGCTGGAGAAAAAAGTCTGCAAACATGAGAACTTTATACCACCTTTGTTACATTATACTATCATGTTAACTCTTTAATCAAATTCCAAAGATTATCAGCCACATTACATACCATGATTAGCTTTCTACAAACAACTTTGCTTTCTGTGTACAAATAAGTGTCAATGAAATAAAAAATAAAACTGTATACTAGGCAAAGAACTTTATTAACCTTTGCTTCAACCTTTATTCCCAAGCTTCTTCACCTTAATTAGCTGCAAAGAATGATTTGTGTATAAGCAAAAACTGAAAAGAGCTGCAGTGTCCAAGGGGCTTGGGCTTAAAAATATTAGATTGAGATTTCATCAGATCCATGAACAAAATTTTAAAAAGCAGTCATAATATAAAATAGCAGCTCCCAGTAACTTCTTCAAGTTTTATTTTCTTCAGGAGTTGACTCAATTCACTTTGCTTCATTCTTGGAAGCCTCATCAAAATTCTCCACAAGATCTAGAAAAAGATTATAAAAAAAGGCAGAAACTCAGAAAAAAAGCCAAATCTAAAAACAGATCTTGAGAGATAGGGAAATGCTCTCAAAATATATCCTAGTTAAACAAGGATATAAATTTAAATACTATTTTTATTTCCATTGAGACCACTACCCATTTGAGGTATATGTTTTGGCATATTACCAAAAGGGCAAGTCATTAATTTGCCAATGACAGAAATACTGTGCTTCAAGAATACGTATGCCCTCCCATTCCCATCCCACTCCAAGAATTAAATTTAAGCAGTATAATATTGGATTGTCAGAAAAGTCACGACGTATTTTTTGGTTTTCGTTGCAAAAAATGTGTCATGACTTTTCCGACAACCTAATACATTAGTCACTGTGGGGGGCAGAACCAAATAATATCAAAACACAAAATTCTTAAGTTTTCCAGATTCCTAAATACACCTGTCTCCTATCTATGCTAAGTGGATTTCACCACAAAGAAAAACAAATATCCAGTAGCAACTAATATAGAAAAAGGCCTCACGATCTCCAAAAGAGCTTTACTGCTGATTTTAGAACAGTTATATCCAAAGATGTTTGAATAACTTTTCCATGCCTTCTTATAAATTTATGGATTTCATGGCAGAAAACAAGGGTCATTTGTGATCTGCAAGCAGTTACTGTATTTAGGTCACAAAATACACACTTATTTATTTCAATATTTAAAGTTAGATCCCCTCCAACTTTTCAAGATCCCAAACAGAAAAAAAGCCAAGTTCACAAACAAAGCTACCAGTTAAATAACACTGCATTATTTTTCTCGTTCTAAGCAAGGTTCATGTCTCCCTTCCCTCCCATTACCCTATACCCCTGCCCCCAAGGTAGTCTTTTCTATAGTATAAAGATTCTTTATTCTCGCTTGCTAAGATTCTCTAGTTTAACCACAAATGAGGGTTCCTACCTGGAACTTCATCATCATCATCCTCTCCGGTAGCAAGTGGTGCTTTTCCATCCACAGCTGTGAAAGGGAAATGTAAATGTTACACATTTGTCTAAGTCTTCGATAAACATTAACCAAAAGAGGAACAGATGAAAGGTTTCCATTCAGGATGAAAACAGTGACATTTGGGATTTCATCTATAATACTAGCAGTAACATAATACTCTGACATCTACAAATGAACTAGTACAGCCAACAAACCAAATTCCATACCCATCCTTTCAATCCCTCTGGCCCACCATAGGCTCTGAGGTAGAAGGAGAACAGGGAGCCCCCAGGGTAAATCCACATACCAAAGTATGACAGGATTTATTTTGAGAGACAAATGAAGAGGCTGTTTTCCAAATACTCATTACATCTTGCAGGGCGTAAGGGAGATACAAACCTTTACTAAAATGAAAATAAAATGATCCAAAATTAAGTGTCTTTGAGTGGTAAGCATCTACTATCCTTTTATTACACAAGAAAGTGAACTACACTTGAGAATTGAAACTTCACAGTACTAGCCTCATATGATTTTCAGTGGACTGCTTCAAATGCCTACTTCAGTTCTGAAAGTCTAAGATTTTTCTAGAAACTGTTATGCCTCTCAATGTGACAAAAAAATAAATTGAAGCAGAATGAGTGAATGCCTAGAAAAACATGGATGAGTAACAGGCCATATAATAAGCCTGTCTTGCTTCTACGTTCCCATTCTTCAAAATTTTAATCAGAGGGCCTCAGCATAAAGTAGCTATACCCCTGATGTCCACTTATTCAACTACATGATTTTCTGCCCTCAACAAAATCCTTATCCTACAGTAATTGAAAACACTGGAATAGAGGCAGGCCGAGTCTTACAGATTATTGATAATATCAGTTATATAGGTAAAACTGAAGAAATCTGATAATTTATAATATATCTTAAATCAACTTTAAACTGCCAGTTATCATAAAAGCTCCAAATTAACATTTTCATCATTTCTAGCAAATAAAGGTAAAAATTTTTAAGTCTTTTACCCAAAGCAAGAAAGCTAGTAGAAAACAATCAAGTATAACAATCACAGCATACTAAATTATTGAACACACTAAGAATACTTAAAATCAGTATAAAAATTAACATTTTTTAGAGGATAGGCTGCATTTTCAAATTTAAAGATATTCACATCCACTTTGCACCCCGAGATCTTAGAAACCTACTGATAAATCAATCAGTAACCCCGGGCAAAATCACTACTAGGAAACTCACATTGTTTGGGCAGAGCTTCAGCCAGTCTCCTTAAACTAGTCAGACTGTCTGCACCAAGCTGGTTTAAGATGCTGGGTAGCATTTCTGTCAGCTGCTTGGTCTCAGCGTGGCCTGTGATGGTGAAAGTGTTCGCTGCCAGAGAGGCTTGAACTTTAGGGTTGTTAAAGTGGATCACTGTTCCTTGGTTTGTGAACATATTCACCTATAAAGAAAAAAATTTTTAATTAGCCACGCCCACTAAAATCCCTTTACAACCAAATAATTTATTAAGCAGCAACTGCAGTCTGGCTAACTAATCGAGTATTTCATTGTGAAGCACAGGTAGAACGGAAAGTGCAATCTAATGGCTTTCAGGTTTAGCATACACCCTGATACTAACAGAATAGAAACATATTTTAGAGGGATATAAAATTTTCTGCTGGGAGTACTGTAGAGTCAAAAACAATATCACTTAATGCATGAACATTAAAGCTTTTTTCAGCCAAATCTTGTATAAAGAAATAAATTTGACATTTACCTCTTCAATACCAGAGATATTGTTTACCCCTAACTTCTTTAAGGAGAACTGAAGTTTTTTATCATCTGCTGTAGCTGTTCTGTGAACCACCTTCTTCTTTCTGCGAGCAGTTCCCTAAAGTAGGGGAAAAGGCAGGAAAACAGCACACATTTATACCGTAACAACAGACATTTTCAAATGGAAACAG